GGTGTGTCTGTCCGTCTTTCCCTTAGATACCCAGCACTGACAGGCTTTCTGATCATGGCTCCCTGGGCACCTCAGTCTGTCGGTCCATCCACCTACCCGCGTAGGCTGGCTTGCTTCTAACCACTGTTACTTTGTTACTGTTCTACCTGCCATTATTTCCAGGACGGAGAGGGGACACTTAAAATACAACCTAAAGAACGCACACCATCTCCTGAAGAGGCCAGCGAACCCGCCATGTCAGCCCGCTCTCGTGCGGAGCCCCGCGGGCGCCGGCCTCACTCACCGAAGCTCCTGCTGGGCGGCGGTGGTGTCCAGCGTGTCCTCCAGCTCGGTTTTCAGAGCCTCCAGCTCCTCACTCAGGTCCCGTTTCTGCTTCTCTGCCTTGTTCCGCGAAGCCTTCTCCGATTCAAAGTCCTCCTGAAGCTCGGCGATCTGGGCTTGCAGCTCCCGCACCACCTTCAGGGCGTTGTTCTTGTGGAGCGTCTCGTCGTCGCCCCTGTGAGAACAGCCAGGCCCGGGGGGCCGCACTCAGCCGGGGCGCGGAAGGGCTGCTCCCCAGCGGGACCGCCCCTGCACCTCTCCACAGGGAGACCCGGTTACCCAGCCTCTGCCGTGGCACGAGCCTGGCGCGGCACAGGGCCTGCACGGCAGGCACGGAGGCACACAGGCAGTGACCTGCAGGCCCGAAAGCTGGTTGGCAAAAACAGAATCAGAATCGAGCCCAGCCCCCTTTGCAAAGGGCTAACTATCTCCATTAAGAGATAAGACAATCACTTTCATGATTAGAACCTAAAAAAATTCCCTATAAAATAAAATGTTATCCTTAGAACACTGCTCAGGGTAGCAGTCTAGCCTACCAAACTGGTGCCCTCCTACAGTGAACCGGCAAATTCAAAAAAGTCCTTAGAACACACAGCAGAGGAGACACGCCGCCGCCAGGCCTCCCACCTACGCTCTCTCCCATCCGCATCTTCTTGCTGGTGTGTGGTTGGATGTGGTAGATACCTGACTGGGCATAGTTGGGATGTTTGTGATGAGCGAGGGGAAGCTGACAGCCATGACAGCGAGTGGTGAGAACTTTAACTTTAGAATCTAGCTCTCACCTCTGTAAATGAAAAGGCAGAAATTTGGCCAAAGTCAGAGTAACAGTGGTAGAGGACAGAAAAATGTCTGTTATAGATTTTGATTATAATAAATTATAAACTCTAAGTCCTATGACCATGTAGCCAAACAGTTATTCTTTTTAAAGAAATGAAAGTATTAGATATAAATATATTCACTACATATGGTTTCTAATGGTCTAGAACTGAATAGCAAATCATGCTTCAAGTGTATGGGGTGGGTATCCTTTCTGAAGTGATTTCTCTAAACTTCTCGAACACACTGACGTGGACAGAAACCAAACGTTTGCTGTGACACATTTTTTCTGCTGTGAATTTCCAAGGATTTCCTGAGGAGCCTAGTGAGTTTCAGTGTGAATTCTGAGAACGGCTTAGGTTTTCTTGCTGCCCTGACATAAATGACGTGCTCCTGGGTTTTTAGGTTCGAATGCCACACCCAACAACTCGGAAATGACGTGTTCCCTCCCAGGTGTGGGTCTGCACCGACTAGACACGGACAGAAAGCCCACACAGCACAGTCCCACGGGGTCCGGGGGGCGGACCTGGCCAGCGCGCCCTGCAGCTCCTCCTCCTTCTTGGCCAGCTGCACCTTGAGCTCGTCGATCTGGGCCTGCAGCTCAGCGATCTGGTCCTGCAGGTCAGTCGTCTCGCCGTCCAGTTTCCTCTTGGCCTTTTCCAGCTCCTGACGGGTCTTCTCTTCCTTCTTTAAGCGTTCTTTAAGGCAAGACACAGACCTTCAACACACTGAGGGACACGCCACATGAAAAACTCCAAATGCAAACGGATTAAAGTAAAAAAGAAGCTATTTTATTTAAAAGCATGTCCTTGCCTTGATAACACTGTACCAATGAGTCATTCAAAACCCAACTGAAGGCAGATCACTGGTGGGAGGAGGGTATTTTAAGGAAGAAGCTGGGTGGGTTCTAAGGACGTCCTTTCATGGAAAGTGGGCACGCTATTAGAGCGAAGCGATCAGAAAGCTTCTCATGGTGCGCCCACCGCTGTGCCCGGGTTTGCAGAGGGGCCCGGCCGAGGCTGGCAGTGTGTGCAACAGCCTGTCACCCTCTCCCTTTCATGGGGAATCCCTGGTTGAACCAAGACAGCTGTTCCCACGTGTGAGGGAGAGAGGGCAGAGGGCTCTGCAGCTTTCTGCCCTCCCCTCTTGGACTTGGCAATGGTTCCTTAATCAACAGCAGCGATCTGTTCCACTCGGATGCCTTCTCATAACAACAGAACCTGTAAGCCTTTGTGCTCTGCAGCGGGAACCCAATGCTAGGAGATGAGACCGAACATCGCTGGCCCATCACACAGGGAGCAGCACCTCTGCTGCGGGTGCCCTTCCCCAGGAGGGACCACACACTGGGAAAACGGCCTCTGAAAGTAATTTCCTACGGCAGCCCTTCTTGTGTCTACACCAGGGTGGGGAACGTCTGGCCCGCGGGCGGTGAAAGGCCCCCCAAATCACTTGCTCTGGCCCTGCCGAGGCATTAGGGGTGAGTTGGTTAAGTGAACGACCGAATATAGCAGGGTAATGTTTAAGTTGATAATTTTGTATGGCCCGTGAATGATGCTATAAATATCCACGTGGCCCTTGGCAGGAAAACGGTTCCCCAACCTCTGATCTATACTTAAAAAAAAAAAAAAAGAAAGACCGCAAAGCCCTAAATATTAAAAACAAACAAATAAGCTCCTTTCTCCCCCTTATAGAAGCAATGCATTGGAAAGGGTGATCTCGCTCTGCAGGACCCACAGCCCTCACGATGCTGGGCGTTAAGCGTCGGCTCTTCCCCTCGTGGGGAGACCGCCCGCAGCTGCTCGCCGAAGGGAAGGTTTCCTATGCTCTTTCCAACCCTTTTCTCTCTCTTTCTCTCTCTCTCTCTCTCTTTGAAGAAAGCCATGACTGATTTTGCAAAAACCCCCAGGATGCCTATCTTTTGCCACTGGTGTGGGCACTGTCACCCTCGGCCCTTCTGTCCCTGCAGGAAGTGGTCCCGTCATGAAGCGGAGCCCAGGCGCACTTTCTGGATCAGACCCACAAAGTCCAACGGCCTCAACAGCTCAAACATGACTTCGATCCCAAGTATGGCCACAAAGGGCACCGTGTTTCACCACGGGATCTAATATTAAAAAGTGAATTAAAAAGAATAATTTATTGCTATTCTATCACAAATTGTGGTGACTAGATCTGTTTTAATAAACACAAACCGAAGGCTATTAGTAATCACCATGCATCCTCTGTTATCATGTTCTGATTAAAGTAAAATCTAAACATTCCTATGTCCCTGGTCCTACATTTTTCTAGCCCCAAACACTAACCTTCTAAATCCGAGATCATCACTTCTTGCTTATTCCTGATTTTGGCCAAGTTTTTTGCCTTTTCTTCCTCTTCAGCCAGCTGAGAGGAGCACTCACCAATGCGGTCCTCCATGAGTTTCTTTTCCTGAACAGAAAGAACTGCCTCAGAAAAGGCATTCAAAGTAACAACTCGGGTTTGGTATAACTTAGAACACAACCGGCCCTGCCTCCCCACAGGTCACATCCTCCAAAGAGGCGGAGGCTCATCATCTCGGTGCTGACCCCTCAGGGCTGGCCCAGCCGCCGGCCTTCAGATTCCCACAACCAGCGCTGACGAATGAATGCTGGGCCCCATGGGACAAGTCATCGATGAATGATCGACTTGCACAAAGGGCGCAAGTGAAAGTCTAAAGGACTATAAGGATGCTGAGTGGATTTAAAACATTACATTGTGCCTGTGTCTTTAGAAACCTATACAGGTAGAGACTGAGGGAGAAGGAACGAATCTGGAATCTTTGTAGAATTTTTTGGTTAAAGCCCCTTTCATGACAGCATCCACAGAAACATTCCCGTATTCTATAGCAGCTTGGGAGGGAAACATCCGCACTTTGATAAATTTGGAGTTTTGGTCCTCAAGAAGCAGAATCTCCTCCTCCATCTTCTTGATTTTCGCCTCGGCCGTCACCTTCTCCAGCTGCAGCTTCTGCCGGGCCCCTTCTTCCTCGTCCAGCTGCTCCTCCAGGTCCTGTGAACACACGGTCAGCTCGCACCTTCCCACCAAACCCGGCCATGAATAACCAAGGGACGCATCGTGAAATGCCGATTCGTGAAAAAACAAAACAAAAACCCACAAACACTAATTTGTGATGCTCAGATGGCAGGGATATATATGTATACATATGTATCTACTTGTTAATCCTCACCCAAGGATATTTTTCCATTGATTTTTAGAGAATGGAAGGGCAGGGTAGAGACACAGAGAAGCATCTATGAGAGAGACACATTGATTGGTTGCGTCTCGTGCGCATCCCGATTGGGGCTGGGGAATGAGCCTGCAACAGAGGTAGGTACATGACCTTGACTGTCATTGAACCTGCGACCCTTCAGTCCGTGGGCTGATGCTCCAACCACTGAGAAAACCAGCTAGGGCTGGCAAGGATATTTTTAAAAATATGAAATGCAGTTATGTGAAGCAGACATTTGTATGAACCACAGGTTAACGTACAAACTGGGTCAACCCTTCTGGAAGCCAGCACGAGAAAGTGCAGCAAGCTTTGAAAACAAGCATTTCTGTTAAGCCAGCAATGTCAGGAAATAGTAACAGATGTGATTCATATAAAAAAGTGAAATTTTTTAAAAAATTGATTTTTAGAGAGAGAGGAAGGGAGAGAGACAGAGGGACAGAAACATTGACAGAAAAACATTGATCTGTTGCCTCCCATATGCACCCAGACCAGGAATGGAACCTGCAACCTGGGTATGTGCCCTGACCAGGAATTGAACTTGCCACCTTTTGCAAAACCCTAGAAATATAAGAGAGTCTGGGGTGATGCTCCAACCAACTGAGTCACACCAGCCAGAGCTAAATATGTGTAATATTGAGGAACTATGAACACACTACATAAAAGTCTTGGTAATTAAAAGTTGGCATTTTATTTATACAATAGGATAACATATAGTAATTAAACTTCCTATTTCTGAATTAGTGTCACAGGGAAATATGAATAATATAGAACTACATCAAACACATACTTATCTGTTTCTACTCTATATGTTTGGCCACAAGCTGAGAGAACAGAACAGAACAATTGAAAGAGGAGAGGGCCTGGCAGTGGGCTGTCTCCTTTCACCACAGAAGCACGTCACCAAACTGGGTGGGCTTCTGGTGTTTACACATACTTTTATCATAACAGGCTCCTCTTTATTTCATATGCTGACATTATTGTACGCAATAACATATACCTGATTGCACAAGGTTGTACATACAAAGCTATGTACGGTCAATTTAAGAAAGTGTCAAGGATAACTTTGGCTAAATAATTTACTCATGGTTGATTCTGAAATGAAACCCTTGCAAAAGACTAACTTTTTATTGTGTAAACCTCAGACACAGATATGAAGGACACAGAGCAGCACAATGAGCCCCACACAGATGCAGCAGCCCAGCCTTAACAAGCACCAGCTCATGGCCAACCTCACTTCCTCTCTGCCTCCACCTTCTCCCTTAGCATTATTTTGAAGCAAATCCAAAACACATTTCATTTGGGAAACCAGGCGGTAGGTATCACTAAAAGATAAAGGCCACTTAAACATACATTAGTTTGAATTAAAATCCAAATAAGGTTCGCACACTGGGACCAAGCCTCAGAGAAAAAAAGAAAAGTAAGGGGGCAACAAGGTTGGATCTTCCCACGGCCCATGCAGTTAATAGCATGAACCTCTGGTATTTCATGAGGAAAAACAGGAATACTTATATTACCGTAAATATTTTTAGAATGTGTTTGAATGAGTTTACATGTCACAAAGGGAGAGAATAAGTTAACAGTGCAAAACCCTAGAATTATAAGAGAGTCTGGTAAAGAACGGAAAGATAAAAGCCTTGAAAAACCAAACCAAAATAAAAACACCCTATTTCTACAAGGACCTATTTGTTTTCTAAATAAAGTAGAGAAATGCAAGTATTTTATTGGAAGTTGTTAAAATGTAGAGTTTATATTAAAAAGTAGGTTGGGGGGATTAGAGGTGAATTCGGGGCCCTTCCCCCATGAGTAAACATATTACTGAAATGAACAAAGAGAACAGAAAATCAAAACTGCTGGTAATGCCCCCAGGGAAACACTGTTGTTGATGTTATTCTAGATCTGCATATTCCCATATAAAATCCTACATATAAATTTATGTTCTGTAAATACCTTAAATTAGATCCATTGTGTATACTATTTTGCAACTATCTCTATCAAGATATTGTAAGTGCCCATGAAAATAAACATTTAGAACAGTATAGCATTGCCCTAGTTTAATAACCCCCCAATGTTAGGTAGCTAGATGGCTTCCATTGATTGATTCTTTGAATAAAGTCTAGGATTAGACTTGATAATTAAAGGTTTTTCACTTTTTACAGCTTTTGTAATATTCTGTTAACTTATTATGGGATATCTGAAAGCTGTATACATTGAAGAATGGAAAGTGTCCCGATGATTTACTGTATGGGGTATCTGCCAAGGAAATAATATATCCTTTGTAGTTTTGACAAACATCTGAATTATCTGTGTTTTGTAATAAGTTATGGGGTAAGAAAATATTAAGGGGAAGACATGGAGGAAAGGGAGCTTAGTTTGAAGCGAAGGTGGCAGATACAGATGCCCTGACACTTGGAGCAGGTTGGATAGGCCGAGGGAGGGAGGAGGGGAAAGAGAGGGGTGTGTGTCCGAGGGCACGCGCAGAGCAACTACTGTGTGTGTGAGAATTCACCCACAGCGATAGCTGTGCTTCCTGTACAGTTTGTATCTGTAAGAAAGTAGCCACCAGCAAGGACTGAGTGTTTTATTCTGGTTCCTGGCCACCTCCTACGTCAGTGCTAAGCATTTCTTATGAACCAAACCACCCCATACATGCCTAATGAATGGAGTGAGCGCAAAATTATTAATGACAACACAAAGGACAAATTATGTTCCCTACAAAAGGCTACAGACCTTGGGAGCTCTACTTTGAGTCACTTTGCATACTGTAAGATGCCACATCAGAACATGAAAAAGATTCTTCTTCAAAACAAAAAATCTGTGCTTGGAGAAATCTATTACTTGTGTGCTCTAAATGATGGTCATCTTTTAGAATAGGTACTTATAACCTAGACTCCTCTTGCCCTAAATACACATTAAGAGTCCTAGCTGGTTTGGCTCAGTGGATAGAGCATTGGCCCATGGACTGAAGGGTACTGGGTTTGATTCTGGTCAAGGACACATACCTGGGTTGCAGGCTCGATCCCCAGCCCTGGTCAGGGCGCGTGCGGGAGGCAACCAATTGATGTGTCTCGCTCACATCAGTGTTTCTCTCTCTCTGTCTCTCCCCCTTCCTTCCACTCTCTCTAAAAATCAATGGAAAAAATATCTTCGGGTGAGGATTAACAACAATAAAAAAATACACATTAAGAATCTAAACCCATAGCTTCTATTCATTCAATAGATTCACTTGGAAAACCCAAAATAGAATTCTAAATAAAAGTGATCACAGATACCTGAATATGCGCTTGCATTTTTTTCTTTTCATTTTGGAGGATTTGGTTTCTTTCTTCTTCTTCTTCCACCCTCGACTCCAAGTCATGCAGAATCTCTTCCAGCTCCTGCTTCTTAGCAGCGAGTCTGGCTCTCATCTCTTCTGCCTCAGCAAAGAGCTCAGTCTCCGCCTGCAGTTGCTCTGCAAGGATGTTCTTCTCTTCTAAGAGCTGCAATCACAACAGCGCCCAGGACTAGGACTTGCCCTCAGCACACACCCAAGATACAGTCACCAAGATCTCAGTGGTCAATGCACCAAAGAAATGGAAAGTTACAAATATATTACCGCCACTGGCAAAACTTTCAAGTATGTTTTTGGCTGTAGCAAAATAAGCCAGATGAAAACACTTTAGTTGTTTCTGCTGTCTCAAGTTGTAGCATATTAAACTCATGCTATTTTAAGAACACCCATTCTTCTATTAAGATAATTTATGAAGGGACAGAAAAACAGGAGAGGGAAAACACTCAAATGTAATAAAGTTTATGGTGACTGCGAAAGCTGTGTGGTATCAAGTGACTTTATTATTAATCTTTTTGGCCTTGACCACTCCAGTTCTATCACTGTCATCTATAAACAGTTCTTGAGCCTCTATTTGTCATGAAGCACCACTGCCTGGGAAGGGACATGGACTGGAGACCACTGTCACTGCGAAGAGGCAGGTGGTGACCTTGCACCATCTCATCCTTTCACCTTTTTCTATTTCCCCCATGAGCAGTGACAGGACGGTGATAACACTGGGAGTCTCATTGAAAACAGGTGCAAATACATGTCTGATAAGCAGACATGCTCATCTGCGTGTCCAAATACGACAAAGACAAAATGCAAGAGGCAAGGCTGACTTTGGTTCATATAAAGACAAATGCATGGCATAACGGATCTGTTGTCTGTTCTCGAATGCCTACGCTTTGGAAAGGAGTGAAAGATACGCATCAACTAAGATGGTATGCGGGTACAGCGACCACAATGAAACGTGTGTGAGTTCCTGCCAGTGGGGGCGCTCACGTCAGCTGGGACGTGTGCCCCTGTAAGAAGCCAGCGCACACACCTGCTGGTGCTTCCTCTCCATCTCCTCCAGCTCCCCTTCCACCTTGGTCTGCTTCTCCTTCACCTTCAGCAGCTCTTCATCTTTGGCCTGAAGTTCTTCCTCTTGGCGAGTGACTTGCAGGAGCGGCTTCACCTGTGACAAAATTAAGCAGTTTATCATCACGTCTCCTGCCGGAGGGTGGTCCCTGGGCGATCGCTGCTCCCTGGAGAGCCCGCAGCCCACCTTCGTGAAGACGCGCCACCACTGCCAGTGCCGCAGCTTCAGGTACGCGGCGCAGTTCCGCTGCAGGACCTTCAGGGCGCTGAGCTGCTGCTGCTTCTTGGCAAAGGCCCTGAAGGACAGCAGGAAAAACTCATCACATAAAGAAAAGCCCGTCTTAATGGTGGTTGTCATGAGACCACTTCCTAAAGGCAACCATTCTTATTTGGCTAAGACACGGAGTGGGTCCATGTATCAAATCAAGCCCTCAGTGACACACGGGAACCGGCTGCTGCTGGAGCCCAGGTCAGTTCATGAGCCGCCCAGCCAGCCTCAGGCACCCATCACGGACGCCCTCCCCTTTCTTCAGAGATGCTGCCTGACAGTGGCTGCCATTTACCATGTCCCACACTGAGGGTCTGAGGCAATGCCGACAGTGCGACAGGGTCCCTCCTGTTCCCTGGCTGGCGGTCTTTAGTCCTGCTTTATTAACTATGTCCTTCTTTTGATCTGTCACAGAAGAGACACCTCCCACCCCCTTTATGATTGCCCACTTACTTTCTTGCTAGGTAACCTCTGCAAACGGCCTGGAAGAAGATAATGATGTCGGTAATTTTTAAATCCCGTTCTTCCTCTAAATGTGCCAAAACTCCAGCTCGGAAAAATATCTTGCTCTGTCCAATTCTGTACAAGTTTGGATCTAATTCTAAAGCCCGGATCTAAAAGCGAAAGAGTTCATTTATTTTTTGCTGTTGGAAAAGATTATATCAATAGTCCACAAAGCAGGAAAATCAAGAAAAGCTTACCATTCGTTCACAAGCCTGTTTGCCATCCATAAAGCCTTTAGGAATTGCATTTGGAGTGAGGATCTCGTATCTGTAAGAAAAGCAGCCAAAAGGTTTTGGTAAACATTTGTGAATGTTTACCTACTAACTGTGAGTTCTGCTTTCTCTACGAGGCAATTTTATAGGTAATCATGTCAAATTAAGTGTAAAGAAGTAACCAAGTGGTAATCAGATTTTCTATTTCTTAAAATGAACATAAGGCTAATTCTCCCACGTCAAAGACTAGGTATAAAAATTGTGGCAGAGAAGAATAAAAGCATGGTGTTTTAAAAACCTTTTGCTTTTTATTTCCCCAAAATGTTCACATGCCCAAGATGCAGGAGAATCGGCTCTCTGTGCCCGATTTGTGGGCATCTATTGGATCATAGAAAAGGCCGTGACAACAATGCCCAGAGGCCTCCACTGAGAAGAGAAAGCATCAGGGTGACATTCAAAATGGCAATGGCCTGGGTGTACATATATTCACTAAGCTGCACACTGAAGACTGTGCACTTTATAGTGACTACTAGAAGCTTGGTGCGTGGGGTCCCTCAGCATGGCCTGCGGGGATCGGGCCGAAACTGGCAGTCCAATGCCGCCTGCTGCTCCTGCCCATCCAGGCCCCGCTGCGCCTGCTGCCGCCGCTTGGTAGGCTCGATGCAATCTCTGGGCTGTGGCGGCCAGCCGTGAGCCCTGCGTCTGGCGCCCATCGGTCAGCTGAGTACTGCTCCCTCTGTGGGAGCGCACTGACTACCAGGGGACAGCTCCTGTGTTGAGCATCTGCCCCCTGGTGGTCAGTGCATGTCATAGCAATTGGTCGAACGGTCACTTAAGCTTTTATATATATATTAGTAAATGTATGGCACCAGGTGGGTACTGGATATATCAGGGGACCACTTGGTAGAGCATATGATTATCTAACCACTATGCTATACACCTAAAACTAATACAAAATAATACTGAATGTAAAGTGTAATTGGAAAAAAAGATTTGTGCGCTTTATGTAGTTACACCTCAATAAAAATAAAGTGGAGCAAATAGGTAGTTGGCTATATTAAAGATGAATCCTGGCTACACCATCAACTTTGTCCTCTGGATGTCAATTATGTTCCTTTTTCTCCTACCCATAAAAAGGGAGAGTCTACCCGACTGTTTATCATACAATGAGGCCACAATACAGGTTCCCCCAAACCCATAAGAGCTGGAATAATTGCTCAACGGGATTCCCTCTGGAACAGTGGGAGAAAGGGCCATCCTATGATGGCAGGCTTGTTTATTTTATGGAACAACAAAGGCTGCCATAATTGAAAATCCAATTTCCAGGAGAAAAAAGCAAACTAAATATTAAAGAAAATTATGCAATACATTAAAAAAACCAATTTCCCACCATAAGTTTTCATTCATTTCTATTGCATCCATTTCTGTTATTTTTACACAAACCTAGATGGTATAGCCCACTGCACACCTAGGCTGTATGGTATATAGCCTGTTGTTCTTAGGCTATAAGCCTATTCATGTTACTGTACAAAACATGAGTTAAATGAAGCACAGAGAAGATGATGTAATCAGACATGTGGGAAACATGAGATAGTGAGGCTGCTGCCAATAAAACATGGCACACTGTTTTACAACATTTTTAACAGATAGAAGGAGTACCCTCTAAAATAATGATAAACAGTGTAGTATAGTAAATACATAAATCTGTAGTCATTTATTACATTATCAAGTGTTATACACCAGCGGTCGCCAACCTTTCGGACCTCACGGACCACCGGTTGGCAACCACTGTTATATACTGTACCTAATTGTATGTGCTGTACTTTTATATGAATGGCAACTCAGCAGGTCTGTTTATACCAGAAGCACCACAAACACATGAGGAATGCGTTGTGCTGTGACCTTACAATGGCTGTGAGGTCACCAGGTGACAGGAATTTTTCAGCTCCATTATAATCTATGAGACCACTGTCATATATGTGGCCTGTATTTATCTATCTATCTATCTATCTATCTATTTATTTATATATATATTGTTAATCCTCACCTGAGGATATTTTTCCATTGATCTTTTAGAGAGAGTGGAAGAGAGGGAGAAACATATTGATTGGATGCCTCTGGCACGTGACCCAACCAGGGCCTGGGCCGGGGAGGAGCCTACAACCACGGTAAGTGCCCTTGATCAGAATCGAACCTGGGACCCTTTGCTCTGCAGCCAATGCTGTGTCCACTGAGCCAAACTGACTAGGGTGTGGCCTGTCTTTAACCAAAACATTGTTATGGGGGCATGACTGTATTTTAAAATATCAGCTTAAAAAATAATTATGGCCCTAGCTGGTTTGGCTCAGTGGATAGAGCGTCAGCCTGTGGACTGAAGGGTCCTGGGTTTGATTCCGGTCAAGGGCACATGCCCAGGTTGTGAGCTCCATCTCCAGTAGGGGGTGTGCAGGAGGCAGCTGATCGATGATTCTCATCATTGATGTTTCTATCTCTCTCTCCCTCTCCCTTCCTTTCTGAAATCAATAAAAAATATATATTAAAAAATATAATTATGTTTAGCATTGGTGGTGTTGCTCAATGATTAGAGCATCAGCCTGAGCACTGAAGTGTCTCGGCTTTAATTCCAGGTCAAGGGCACATATCTGGGTTGCAGGTTCGATCCTCAGCCCTGGTGGGGGTGAGTATGGGAGGCAACCAATCGATGTGTCTCACTCACATTGATGTTTCCCTCCCTCCCTTCTTTCCTCCCTTCCACTCTCTCTAAAAATCAATGGAAAAATACTGTTAGGTGAGGATTAACAACAACAACAAAAAGTTCAAGCCCCAAATGGAACTGTTTAAATGAGCAACTGTAAGCCTCAGCTGACCCTGCAGACAGAGCAGTTTTTGAAGTACCATAGCAGTCACAGCATGACCTCCCCATGAAGCAGGCCCTCAATAGTCTTGACCAAAAGTGAAGGTAATAAGGATTAGCCTTTCCCACATGTGAAGAAATCGGACTCTCCAGGGAACAGGAAAAGAATGCCTCCCACCCTCATGCTGCGAGGCACGTGGAAAAGGTGAGCGAGCGGCCCATACCTCTGCCGGAACTCCTGGAACACGATCCGGTTGGGGAAGCCCTGGCGGCAGATGCGGATGCCTTCCAGCACACCGTTGCAGCGCAGCTGGTCCAGCACGAGGTGCGGGTCCAGTTTCCCAGCCTGACCAGCAAAGGAGAGTGTTATCTTTGAACCGCTCCGCCCCGACCTCGTTCAGTGTCCGATCCCAGCACGTGCTGGACACATACCCGCTTCTCGTGGTTTGGAATGATGCAGCGAACGAAGTTGGGGTTGGTGTTGCGGAGAGTCGCCATCAGCTTGGTGAGAGACTCTTTGTAGAGCTGGCCGACGGTTCGAAACATGCCCTTCTTGGTTTTATAGGCAGAGCCAAAAGCTGTCTCCGTCATCCCAGTGACTTGATCCAGGCCCACAATCCGATCCACTGGTGAACATAAAGAGGAAGAGGACAACGAGTCAAACCCACTCTCCCGCAGGGAAGACAAGACACAGTGAGTGCAGCAGCACAAGCTTGTGGACAGATGAGGAGAGATGCCATCTAGGGAGGCAGTCAGCATACGGAGACACTGCACAAGCCGTGGGACCAACAGCCACACACTTCAAGGGCGGGTAGTGTAGCTCTGACAGCTTCAGACCACATACCAGCAGATGCCTTCCGCTGCGCTACTTTCAGGGACTCACTGCCCGATAACATTTGCCTGTTACATACACAATTACTTGGTATATGAGAGATCACTGGCTGGCATTATTGATACACAAATGGATATTATGACAAGTCTCAAAACAGGAAAGGCTTATAAAGATATACGTAAAAATATAAACTGTACAAAGCAAATCCACTTAATGACTATGGCTCAGGAACTAGGGACCAGAGTCATCTCTCATCAGTCATTAGGATTTTAGTAAAAACGCCATCCAAGTTGCAGGGAGAGATTGCATTAGTTCAGATTTGTGGGAATGAGTAAACTTCAGCTCTCTCCTCAAAGCGTGAATAAACTTATTAAAGGGCAAGAACACAAATTTGGAAGGAGCCTCCTAAAAAGAATCAGCGCCTAAGCTACACTTAATGATGGTTACACTTCTCAGATCCTTCAGCTGAGGGTTCACATTGTCCACACAGACCTAACACCTCTAATGATGGGATTCTAAACAGAAGTCCAACACAGGGCACCATCCACACTTGGTGCACAATACGCTCTCATTTGAAAAAACTGTTACATGAATGAAACACACTACTGAAATATTTAAATCAAAATATCGATTGAATTGCCCTGTTAATGCCCTTGTCAATCTTAACAGCCACCTGCATTTCTTTCATCCGTTCCCCAGAATAGAAGGTACGTGGGGACCTCAAGATCTCAATGAGCTTTGTGCAGAAGAGAAAACCATGACCCAGGAGGTAAGGCAACTTTTCAAGTCACGCATGTCTTACATGGAAGTGGGGAGAAGGGGGCTGAAGTCGGATCGATTCCCAGGCCCAGCCTGCACACTATAGTCCCATTTCTCCTAGCGAAGCCACCAGACTCGGGTTCAGGTCAAAGCTCCCTGTTTGTGCTCAGGACTCTGCCTCCATCCACCTCGGAGACCACCTTTCTTCCCTGGCCTTCAACCCTGTCCCTCTTACTTGCTCCGGCAAAAACCCCACCAAACCCCACCCCTGCGTGTGCCACGGAGCAATGAGCTTCCTCTAACCTGCGCCTGCCCACTTCTCTGTCTCCTCAGAGCCAAGCTTCTTTCCCGAGTAGCTCATCCGTGGGCCCCTCCGCATCCTCTCCACTCATTTCCCGCTGCCCAGCGCCCTGGCTGCTAGCCTGCCTCCTTCCTCCACCTGACACTCAGGCAACCACCGGTCAAGTGTTAAGAGCAGGCTGTCCAACATCTGTTTTACTTGACCCTGATATACTAGTATTTTCCTGTTGACCACAGAGCGGCATCCTAAAGCCTCTCGTCACTCCTGGCTCCTTTCATGAACCCCACCTTCTCCTTGACCTCTATCGACCTCTCTAGCTACTCCAGTCTCCCCGATGACTTCTCCTCTGCCTTTCCCGTACACCGGGGCACTCACAAGGGGTCCAAACTCAACACCCCTGAAAGCCTTTCTGGGATAAGGCCGGATGCAAGTCCAGGCACACACTGACCTGCTTTTCCCAAGCCATAGCCTCATCCCGGGTGATCTCATGTGACTTCAATTACCTGTACCCGACTCCCAGCATCAGTCCCAAACACCTATATTCTCCTCTCCACCCAGAAGTCACAGAGGCCCCTCTGCCTTCCACATTCTCGCTAAGCGCCTGTCATGTGTGCTTTTACTCAACGTTGCACCCTTGCCCCTAGCATGATGTCTGGCATAACAGGCTCGATGCACAGATGTTAGTGGATAAATGGAATAAAAAAACATTTACAACTACAAAGTGAGAAATGCACTGACAAAAAGAACAAGATGCTGTGAGAGAGATGGGTGGTTAGAGATCTCTCTGGAGAAACTATACTTACTGCCAAGAGGGAAAGAACGAGCCAGTGGAGAGAATATTCTAGAGAGGGGAACAGCATGTGCTAAGGACCAGGGGCAGGAAGAAGTGCGAGGGGCTAGTGCCAGTGAAGTCGCATGAGGGACCCTCCCTTGGCCACTGTGTGTAGATGGTGGGGAGGAGGCCCGGGAGACCAGACAGGGGCCACTGTAGGGTCCAGGTTCTAAGAAAGATGACAGCAGCTTGAACTTGTGAGACTTAGATGAGAGGGACAGAGGAGGAAAATTCAGGACCTATTTTGGTGGGAGACTTGACTTACTTTAATGATTAACTTGACAGAAAATAAGGGAAAGGGGCCGTCAGGAATAACTCCTAGGAGTTTGGCTTGAGAGCTGAGTGGCTTGTGGTGCCATCGGGAAGATGGGGGAGAGGTGGGCTTTGTGGGTAGGAAAATGGGGTCCAAACTGTGTAGGTTGGGGTGCCTGTGGGACATTAGGGTGGAGATGAGAAGCTGAGTGGACATCCCAGGCTGCTGCGAAGAGGTCTGGACCGAGAGGTAAATCTGGGATTGCTGACTTAGTGTTTACAGTTAGGAGACTGGATGGACCATCTGAGGGGGGTGAGAAGAGGTGAGGGCAGGGGAGCAAGCCCCACGGCGCTGGGGAGGAAGAGCTGGGTGAGGAGAATGGGCGGCAGGAGGGGCAGAGATCAATATCCTAAACGCGAGCACATTCTCTGCCCCCGCTGCTACCCTGTCCCTCCTGTGTTTCCTACAGACGTGACCAACTTACTCAAGCCAGAAACCAGGGGTCAGACTCCATTCCTCTCACATCAGCTGCTCACCAAACTTTCAAACATCCTCCATCCATCCCTCCTCTTCGCTGCCCTCGCGGGGGCTCTAACCCCTCACCTGGATTCTGCAACCTCCTACCTGGTTCCTTCCTCGGCCCCAGTCTCCCTGTGTCCTCTCCCCCCGCCACACAGGTTCTTGCTATGCCTCGGTCCGTGTGTAATGACTAACAAGAAGTTCTGAAAGATAAAGCTAAATGCGTTATCTTTCCCTTCACTGAAGATCCACTTTCTTCTACCGCTTACAGGATATGGTCCAAGGAGTCGCGTAACAGTGATGGGAACTCCGCTCCAAGAGGCAGAAGCACTGCCACCCTGAGCGTGATCTGGAGCCCAGCCCCCCAACTCCTCCAGCCTCAGCGTCCCCTCTGTGGTGTGACCTGCCCTACAGGCGCCTGTGAAACACTCAGGTGCCCAATGAAGGAGCCTCCCTGGCATTTCCCACACACGCCGAAGCTCCAGCTGTGCAGACCGGGTGCATTTTCTGAAAGACGCAGGTCCTCGAGTCTCCGTCCTGCTCTCTCTGCAGGGACTGCAGACCCCTGCTTGCAGCCTGGCAGCTCCTCACCTGGTGCTTCTCAGTCTCCGGATCCTACCTGCCTCCAGACTAAATAGGCTCCTCCCTCCTCCAGGCTTCAACTCCCCACAGCCAGATCCCTGGGGCACCTCCCTCTACTCTGTGTATCTCCTCGCGGGGCTGGGCTTCCCCAGGGACGTCTGTCCAGCGTCTAACACATGCAGGGCCCGGGGAGCCCTTTCCTGCTATCGCTGCAGCCCTCTGACACCGGCTTAGACAACACCTCAAACAAGGAAAGAGGAGGCGCGGTGTTCACTGTGCGGGGAACTCCACACACTGGCCCCCAGTTCTCTGAGCTGCTCTTTACACGCGTGACAGCGGTCACAGTGCTTTCCCCAGCAGGAGTCGCTTTGACACTAACAACCCCAAAACACTCATAATGAACTAGTTTTCAAATTTATTTTATTTATTTTTAAAATATATTTTTATTGATTTCAGAGAGACAGGGAGAGGGAGAGAGAGACAGAAACATCAATGAAGAGAAAGAATCATTGCTCGGCTGCCTCCTGCACACCCCGCACTGGGGATCGAGCCCCCAACCTGGGCACGTGCTCTTGACCAGAACTGAACCTGGGACCCTTCAGTCCGCAGGTTGACGCTCTATCCACTGAACAAACCGGCCAGGGCTCAAATTTATTTTTAATAAAGGTAATCCAAAGCTAAACATTCAGCATGCTTCGGACTTTCAGTTCTTTTTTTCCCTTAATTCAAAAATTTAAAATCAGGGTTAGCTTCCACCAATGAACAAATTTATCTTGTAAGAGAGACACTTTGGGAACTGCATTCAATGACTTGGGCCACACTAATAAAATACAATTTCACTAAACAATCAAGACCTATAAAAAACTCTATTTTACAAAGACATTTTCTTGTTGAAAATGGTTAGAGCAGGAATCAGAGAAAGGCAGAAAATGAGGAAGACACGATTCTAGCAGCTCCTTGAAATGAGCATCTCTGCTCCTTCTAAGACCTTCACAGCCACCAAAACAAAATCTCCACGTGCAGAGCCCAAGGTTTCTGGTCTCCATTGATCCTCTTGCTACAAACTCTCCTCCCCGAGGTGCCAGGAGAGCCTGGCCAGGCTGCGCGTGGGCACGGTAATTTGCCAGCTGGCTGCCCAGTAGCCTGCAAAGATTTCAAAGTATTTTCACAGACAATTTATTACTCTAAAAGCTTACTTGGACAGTGAGAAGTGAGATGAGCTCCACAGAGCTGCCATCTGTAAGGGCATATTTATTATTTAAGAGAAGAAAAATGCCATTTGTAATCATCTATCTCATAAAACTGCATGAATAATTTTTTTAATGATAAAAGAATGACACTGTCTAGTGCCAGAACGCTTAACCGGCCCTTCTTCTAGGGGACAACCTCAGGAGACGAGAGGCACGTGAGATTTTCACGTTCTTCCAGTCTGTGCACGGGCCAAACACTGGTGTCGCTACATTTAATTTTAATTATTTAGGCCAGCGCTTTAGAAACTCACTGCAGTTAATACGGCTAAAAACCACAGTAGGGGGAGAAACTTATTTT